TGTCCTCGAAAAAACAATCATTTATAACTTTTTTCTTTATTAAAATAGTCGACACCTTTCATCAACGCCATACTGGAATACTTCCCGCTCTTTCGTAAACCGAACAAACCACCATCGGAGGTGGTTTGGTTGGTTTAACGAACTGGTTTCAGTTACAGCAGAAACAAATAGAAAACCGGTTCTGGGTTTAAACTAGTTTAAAACCAGTTTGTGGAACAAATGAACAGTTTACAAAACTGGTTCAAAACTAAAACCAGTTTTTGAGAAACAAATTCGCCCATATTCTGTTTGTGTATAAAAAATTTCCATAATATCTTCATAACTAATGGATTTAAGGAATTAAAACCTTTGAAAAAAATATTTACAGAATTTTTTCCACATACCTTTTTGAATGTGAAGAGCTACGAGTGCAAAAAGGTCACGATAATTGTAAGAAATAAAGATATTTGAATAGTCTGCAGAAAAACAGCTATAAAATTCCAAGAAACGCTTCCATTGATTTCATATTTTTAAAAAGTGATTGTTTTTAAATATATTATTTAGTATTAATGGGATTTTGGTTGCAAATTTAAATTAATGGAGTTTTCACTCTTGTAAGTGCAGAACTGCAAGTGCAAAAAGGTCACAATAATTCTAAGGGATATTCTGTAGAAAAAACAGGCATAGAATTTTAAGAGACACTTCAGTGATTATATTTTTTATCAAGAAGTATTTGTTTTAAGATATTTAAGTAAAAATAACAGGCAATTTGGTGGCACATTTGAATTAGTTGATTTTTTCACCCTAGCAAAATTACACAATATCTGGGTAGAAAGGCATACTGGACTACTAGAGTGGTTACATTTTGAACGTTAAATCATTTCAGGCACATGACCTTCAATCTTCATGACTGAAATTAGCTTATATTTATCCAGAATGTCACAAAGATGCATGATTTGAATATTTGTTTAACCAGAAGTCTTTTTCGAGACTGTAGCTCTACTGGTTTGTACTTCTAACAAAGGAAGAGATAAGTAGCAGTTGGACTTGAAACTTTGCAACAGAAATAAATAGAATAATGATCCTTGATTTGGTCTCTTTTCATGGAAATCTGACTAAAACTAAAGGGGGAGTAGATTTTAAAAGAATTTTACAGAAATTTCTATTTTAGTAACCATAGCAACACCGTTCATCAAAATCAAAATCCGATAAAAAAAAATTATGTATCTCAGTGTACTTTACTTGTGTGCCAAGTAATATTGGAATCAGACCAAAACTGTAGGAGGAGTAGCTTTTGTTGACGGACAGACAGACGACCAACCCCTTACTATCGCATAAGCTCTTCTGGTCTCTAACCAGTAGAGCTAAAAATCATGAGTTTTTGACAAGGCTTAATGTATCATAGCAATGAACTGGCTATACATGTAGCTATGGGGCTCATTTTACAGGATCCCTTAGCATGAAAATGCACATTGCAAAAACTGCAAATACATAAAATTGCAAGTTTAACAGAGAGAGTGTTCAAAAGTGTGAACACATCAGTAAATAAAATCCACATTTTCACAGTGTTGCCCAAATTTCATACAGTTCTTCATTGCAAAAGTTGTTTTCAAACATGCAAAACATTTTATACAAATGCTGATTTTGTTTGCCCTAAAATTATACAAATGAATGAACAGAACAAAGTTTATGTCTTTTTTAATACCATCAAGTCATAAAAACACAACTAGTATTTAAATGAAATATTTGACAATGCTCAATTAAATTCCTTCAACTGCATTTGAAAAATACCAAATGTATCATGTACATGTACATGTTACTTTTACAGAGAAAATTTAAAGACAGCAACATTATAAAAAATTTTATTACTAAGATGATCTCTAATTTTAAATTGTCAAAAAAAAAACAACAAAAAAACAACAAAAAAAATTAAAAACTCATTTGAAGCTACTACACTGAAATAAAGCAAAATAATAATATTTGAATTAATATGACAAATAATGGCTATGCTGTTCTTAACAAGACAATTTTTATTGATATAACATTTGTATTCCTTTGTATAACTTTGATCCCCTGTTATGGCCCCCCTATTCTCTTGGGGGGGGGGGGGTGTCATGATTTGAACAAAATTTGAGTCTACATTACCTGAGGATGCTTCCATTTAAATATGACTAATTATGGCTTTGCTGTTCTTGAGAAGAAGATTTAAAAAGGCTTTTTCCTATGTATTCCTATGTAAAACTTTTATCACCCATTGTGGCCCCACCCTACCCCTGGGGGGAGGGGGGGTCATGACTGGAACAAACTTGAATCTTCACTACCTGAGGATGCACCCATATAAAAATGACCAATTATGGCTTTGCTGTTCTTGAGAAGAAGATTTTTACAAATTTTTCCTATGTACATGTATTATATGCAAAACTTTGATCGACCATTCTGGCCCCACCCTACTCACGGGGGTCATGATTGGAACAAATTTGAACCTACACTACTTGAGGATGCTTCCTTTTAAATATGATCAATCATGGCTTTGCTGTTTCTGAGAAGAATATTTTTAAAGGCTTTTTCCTATGTATTCCTAAGTAAAACTTTGATCACCCATTGTGGCCCCACCCTACCCCTGGAAGTCATGATTTGAACAAACTTGGATCTACACTACCTGAGGATGCTTCCATATAAGTTTCATATTTTCAAGCACAGTGGTTCTTGACAAGTTTTAAGGTGATGCCATCAATTTTTCACAAATTCATGATTATCTCCCCTTGGAAGAAGGTGTGGCCCTTCATTTGAACAAACTTGAATTCCCTTTACCCAAGGATACTTTGTGGAAATTTTGGTTGAAATTGGCACAGTGGTTCTTGAGAAGAAGATGAAAATGTGAAAAGTTTAAAACACGACAACGACGACGACAGACAATGGACATATTTCGATCAGAAAAGCTCACTTGAGCCTTCGGCTCAGGTGAGCTAAAAAAAAGTTTCATCCTTTTCTTTTGGAATGCCGTCGACAGCTTGAAGCATCAACTTTGTACCTTGGCAAGGTGCAACAGGCCCTATTTCTAAATGTACTGACTGTAAAATATTCCTGAACAGTATTGCAAATAGTCCAATTTCTGAGATACTTGACACTTTAAGGGAGGGTAATCTCCATTTGACAGGATATGCTTTGCATGATTGAACAATTTATGCTGAGATCTTTCATCTTTTGACCAATTTATATGCACTGATGATATGAATTCAAAATCTGTAAAAGCAATGACAAATTGATGTTTGAATTAAAGTTCATAATTGATATTGCAATAATTATGATAATCAAAGAAGACATTTTAGTACAGTAAATTTTCATTTATACCCAAAAGCAAAAGAGCATGTATTTTGATGTTCTAAATGACATTGGGAATTACGCAGCTATGTTAAGGCTTCCCGAAGCTTTTAAATGAGCTCAAAACATAATATGTCATTGCGAAGTCGGTTTTGGTTTTAATTTATAAGTATTGAACTTTAGTACTTCCAATTTATATAAAGAGTTTCCTCGGCTATATATTAGCATATTTGTTATGATATCACATGACTTTGTTGATCACGTGACGGTCATTTATAATTTTTTGAAGTGTGTCATATAAATCGCTTCGGCGCAGCTGATTAACACGATAATCATTAACATTTTGTTAAATAAATAAACTCATCGTATCCTTGTGTATCCGAAATGTGCTTGGGAAAAGTCATAGTATTACTTTGGTACAAAATATTTCCTAAGAAATTCAACTTACCTACAAATTTGAGCGTATTTTCCACACAATATCGTAATCTGTATTAAAACAAAGCCAACACAGATTTTTCCCAAGCAAGATTCAATTAGAGAACAACCTCTTCTTACAGATTTCCACAAAAATTCTCAGATTAATCCTCATTAATCACCTGCGCCAGACTCTTTTATACACACAAAATAAATTCTACCTCCAACCACGGGTATAAAACAGAGTACATTTCAAAAGTATATTTTTCATAAGCATTTTGAACATGATGAATTTCAATCAAGGGTAGGTAAGCGCTGTATTTTTAAAATATTCGGACATATAAGACTTAAAAAACCTTAAACGACCTGTGAATTTTGCAATAGCTATCTAGCATTTTGCATGCAGTTTGAAATAAAGTGTAAAGTTCATGACACTCTCCCCGACATAACACCTCAAGTTTGCAGTGACCTGACGTCATTTTCCATTATGACGTCAGATTTTGGTAGTTCAGAGACGTGAAGGCACAGAGTGCAGTGTCATATTCTACGGGAAGCCTTAACCTACCTGCGTAGGGAATAATTTCAATTTTACAACAAAGGGACCTTGGCAATGCTAGCCTGAATCACCTTTATTTCCTATTTTGTAAGAGATCCAAATGCCTTAAATGGCTAATTGAGTTTAATGCAAACCTGCAAATGATCCAAATATAAAACAAGCTAATTCAGAGAATTGTGGCCCCCACTTATGGAAAAAAATGAGGATGGAAGAACTGGACCAAAAAAAAATGCAGATGGAAAAAGAAAAAGGTCAACCTTAACTTTTCAGCTTTTGGCCTTAAAGTCAATTGGTGTCTTTTTTTTATTAAAGAAATAAATTCAAGACCTCAAATAGAACCAAAGTTATCACCAGGACATTATTTATTGCAAGATATGAATTTTTCAACTAAACCTTTTAACTTTGAAATCAAAGGGGATTTCTTTAAGTCATTGGGAATTATGATATAAAATTTAACAGAAAAAGCTCAAGGGAAACTAAAGTTATTATTCGAGTTTTTTTTTGTATTGTAGGAATTTCCAACCTTGACCTTTTGACCTCAAATCAATAGGGATCTTCTCTAGGCTGTAAGGAGTTGTGATATGAAATGATATTGCAAAAGCTCAAAGGCTTTAAGAGATATTGTTCCCAAATTAAAGTGTTATAGTACATACATGTGCAGACAGAATGACCAATGGACAGACCAATAAACATTTATTGGGGGGGGAGGGGGGGGTTGGAGGCTGTTACCTGCAGGTATTAGGTCATATGTTTTCTGTTAAGTCCATGACTTCTTCCATTTTCCTCCACTCTTTGCTCTGTAAAATAATTGAAAAAGCCATGAAGTATATATACCCTTATACATTACAGTTATAATGCTAAAAATGCTAATGCTGAAACATTTTGAATGAATCATAATTAAATAATTTTAAAGCTCAAAACTTGAACTATATGGACTGGACTTTTCAGTTTATCAGTCACATATTCAGGCATCTTCACCATTTAGACCTAACTTCACATAAATTGTTCTTTGTTATTTTACTTATCAGTAATGTGAATGAGCAGTTACATGTATATTATCATGATTATAGTAACTTGTATGTATACATTATAAAATGTTAACCACATGTACAAACTCTGGTTCATGTCATTGAACTGCATGAGAACAATGTCCACTTGGTTATATTTTTCAGTGTGGAGATGAAACATATTTGTTAATTTTATTTTTTGAGATATTGAACATTGACATTATCTTTATTATTATGTAGTACCTTAAAAATATTATATTATATTACAGTAAGTGATCACCTGTTTGGTTTGATTCAATTGTTGCCTTGTCAATAGGAACACATTTCTGCTAAAGAATAAACATTAATTTTAATATTAACTATACAATACTTAATAATCCTCATAGTTACATGAATACTTATAACCAGTTATGTACACATAAAATGAAACAGAAATCACACTTGATATTTTATTTTTAGAACTAATTCAAAACAATATGCAATTGAAATTTTATTTCCAAACAGGATTGGATCATTTACATGTGAAATGATCAATATTATGAAACTATTGAGTGTAAAAGCCATTCATCAACATTTACTGTAGAATCCTTAATTTATGTGAGTACTAAATATACTCAAATGAGAACAAGAATTAGCAAGTAGACTGCTGCTCAAGAGTTTTCACTTTTTACATGTATTTCAGCTATAACATAATAAAAGCAGGTAATTTTGCTTCATAAGTGAAACTTGATGTATAAGCTACTGAGTAAATTTTAGAAATAATTTGATAAAACTTTTACATATAATTATAAACACACAGTATATGTATATGTACCTTTAAGCTCTTCCTTCAGCTTTACTTCCATACTGATTTTTTAAAGTGTGTTTCTATACATCTTTTGCATATACCTGTAACAATTAGGAATCAAATTAGTTGATAGATATAAATCATTATAGATTGGACATGTAAGTTGTATAAACTTGATATCAATAGGTTTTCACAAACTATAAACACAAAGTCAGTAAATATTTCCAATTATGATATCACTTTGTGATATTATATTTACATGTATAGGGTTGTCCTTAAGACCTGTGGGACTGGGGAATTTCTTCACCTGTAATGACATAATTCCCCAATTACTCTGGTATTGCCCTCTCAACCCTCACTAAGGGGAGGAACCCCCAACATGCTTTTTTTTTTATAAATCTGTTTCATTTCTTATTGACAACCCAAATATCATGTACAGTGTCTCTCTGAAAACTTTAAGGTCAGAAATTAAGTTAATTTCAATGATTTAGCAAAATTCCTTAAGTTTTTAAACTGCATAATGTTCTTACCAGTTCCAACAGGCAAAACCTCATTCAGCTTGACCCTCTCGGTTAACGGGTTTGCATAATAGCGTCTCCCCTATCAGGTATGGGTGACAACATGTTCTTTTTTCCTTTTCCAGTGTAGACCAAGTATATTTCTGTGTTTGACACATACATGTACATGTAGGTATGTTTACAGATATTAGACTGTCCAAGTCCCATAACAGCTGTATGGTTCAAGATGGTTAACGATAAGAAGCGTTTCACAGACAGAAATGTCTTATGTGCTGCATTTAAAATACCTTGTATATTCAGCTGAATCTATTTTACAATCTTTCAACAAAGCTAGAGATCTTTTATCATAATATTGTCCTCAAATCAACACTTCATCTTTTCGTCTGCCATTAAGACATCACACTTTTAATTCCTTTAAATAAGGAGAGTTCCACTAAGGGAGATAATTTTTCTAATAGTTTCAGCCAACTTCAATCTATTTTTAAATTAGCATAATGCCATTTGCAACCAAATTCCTTTTAACTATATATTGATTTTGAAGGATTTTTGCAATTAAACTGATATTTATAATGTTTTAAGCGTTTCTTGGGTTTTTACAGCATTCTAAAGATAGTGGTATTTTAAACACATTGATTTAATCTAATTTTAGACCCCACTTTTACAGAATCAGTGTTGATAAATGAAATTAAATAAAATATTTCTAGTTAGAGCACTTCCTTTAAATTTATTTAATATGTAACATTTGAATAAAAGTGCATTTTTTCCTGCAATTTTTTTCTCTTAATCTATGGGTGTTTTCCAAAATATTTTCATAAAACGTGCTAAAAATAGAATATAGGGCTATAATAGGGATCCCCAAAGGTACCTGACAGTTTTGATACTGGGATTTATTAGAGGACACATGATGCTAATCAGAAACAATAAAATCAGTCAAAATGATCACAATGCCTTTCATAATAAAATTTGGATTTTGCATGGTTTTCTCGTAGACACGCATTTAAAAGGAAGATTATTAGGTAAGGTCCCCGTAGTTCCCTGTAAATGATCATCATTGGTTTAGAATGTTGTCACAACTCAAAGATCTACCTAACAATCCAATTCAAGTTAACAAAATGTTATTTTAATTATTTAAAAAAAAAAATATGAACATTTTGTATAACCCTGTCAAGTTTTAAAAAAATATATGATGACAAACTTGAAAGACCGTTTAACCTTGTCATGTATCGTGATACGTATCGTATCGTGAACTGAATACCGTGATACGTATCGTATCGTGAGGTTAGTGTATCGTTGCACCCCTACGAAAAGGCGAACGGTAACAATTGATTCCTCCTCATTGGTCTTGTATTCATAAATTCTCACATTGCGCTCATACCCCAAGTCGAAAGTAAAGGTCTCTAGTCATGTCTTGGTTTTGCATTTTCTTCTTTTTACAGTGGTGTGTTTCGTACCTCGCCGATGAGATGATTTTACTCCGGTGTAGGAGCGAATTTTATGTTGTTCCCTATTTACATGAAAAATAATCTTGTTTGTGCAAATAAATATTTCAAAATAAAGGTAAACTGCACAAACATGCTTTAATACCCAATATACTTTCTATTTACATCAATTTATTTGGACAGAGTACTTTGCATTATATTGATCCCTTTAAAAAGTATGTTACGTCTAACTTGACACTTTAAAATTGGCTAGACTCCGTCACAGAAATATCGGCCATTGTGGTTGGTAATCTTTCTCGTTGTTTTCTCTGTGCGCATCTCTTGAAGACGAACGTCTTGAAGACGAACACTGTACAAATACACACTGCAATACTACAGACCACGGAGGACGATATTCCGACGGCGATGATCCAGGGAGTGTCTATAAAAAATATTAAATTTTTGCTATAAATCTTCAATTAACGCGAATGTTAGAAGTATTTTGCTATTCGTTAACTGAGATTTCTCGTAAAAAAAAAAACAAGTTTAATATTACAATTTAAATACGTTATACACTTACTCAGGGTTATTGCTGCCGTTTCCGCGAGGACTATTGTGGTGAATACAGCCTGCCTTGGATGCAATTCTGTGAAACCTGACATACATAAACAATTAGAGAATAAGAATTGCGTAAAAACCATTTTAGACAATCAATGTAAATAAATAGTTGTTTGAAAAAAAATGCCAAGAAATATTTTCTTGCTGTTGGACACATTTTGTCTCCCATGAAAACTTGGGTGCTTTTTCTGGTTAGTACCCTCTCGCAGGTAAATTCTGTGTACTTACTCAAATCTCCTGAAGTCCACTCTCTTCCTTAAAACTCTGTCACAATCGGAATCCTTACTTCTTCCATCTTCTCCATGGTCTCTGGCAACATATCGCATGTCATGATGGCAGTTTTACGCTGGCAGCAGCTAGCGTAAGTTGTAAAAAGAAAGAAAACTGCTACTCTCAACATGGCGCCTGCTTCTCGATCAGCGGTCAAATGATGGTGTGATTCTGCAGCTGTGTCCAAAGGGGGGCTTCCGCCTGGTCGCCCATGCGTAAAGCGCAGACTAAGCACTGGCCACATCAAAGGGATAGCTATAACAAATTGACTGATTTCAATAGGGTAACGAAAAGAAAAGAAATTATTTTATGTACATATTTACAAAGGCGAAGATTTAGAACACATTAGATCTAAATATAAGAGGTTCGGTAAAGTACAACTTTGATGTTGGTAACATGAACCACCCTCCACTTGCTGTTAAGACGCTGGTACATAAGGTGTTAAAACAGATTTACATACCCCCAAGAATCAGCTCCTTATTTGCCATGTAAGTGGCCTTCAAATTTTCGTTACCCTCCCAAGGAGCAGGTTCCTCTGTTCCCTTCCACGGAAAACTTAAATCTACCCCATTCCCAGTTTGACGCACAAGTCTTTGGTGTAAATAGAGATTCTTTCCATTGGAGACTGATTTATCGCTTTTCTACAGCTCAGGCCCCGCGACTTTTCTGCTTTCTTTTCGTCCTCGTGAATTTTTTGTGGGCGTTTTCAACTCCCGCTTGTTATGCAAGACGTGATCGCATTTTGGGTATTTTATCCCTTTTCCTTTATTCTGAAAACAGCTACAACGAACAGTATTAATTTAAACATTAAAGTATATCAGTTGTAACAATTTCACATATTTATTTCATTATTTCATTTATTATTACTAACATTTATAAAGCGCACAATTTTACAGATAAAATGCAATCAATGGCGCTGTACATGTACATGCAATTAAAATGACCTTAACAAAGTTAAACAACTAAATAAGATAAGTATAAAAACTATTTTAACTGAAAATAAAACAAAGTTATATAGTGAACCTATAATTAAAACGTCAATTGAATGCACTTCTTAAATAAAAAAAACTTTTTAAATATCTCTTGAAAACGTCAAAATCGCTGATGGCTCGTATGTTAGTAGGCACCTCGTTCCACACGGTAGGTCCTGAAATGGCAAAGGATCTTGAGGCAAATGTTTTGCGTTTTCCGATTGGAACGGTGAGAGTTTTATCCAAATTATCAATGGAATCTTATAAGTGGAAGTTCTAATGCTAAGCATTTCCCGCAGATACATGGGACTGCCACTGTCATTAAGACACTTAAAAACAAGACAAGCTATTTTAATTTTAATCCTATAGGTAAAAAAAAAGGTCATCAGACGTTAGTCTGGTAGCCAGTGTAGAACTTTAAGAGCTTCTGTAGAACTGTCAGTTGATTTTGGTTTAAGCACGAGTTTTGCTGCTCGATTCTGTAGTAACTGTAGTCGTTTGACGGTACATTTTGGCAAAACGTATAACAAACTGTTGGCGTAATCCAGGTGGCTTATTACTAGAGACTGTACTAGCTGTTTACATGAGTCTTCAGTAAGGCATTGGCGAATGTATCTGATTTGGTAAAGATTCATCGAAATTTTGCTACATTTTTCACTAACAAATTTCCTAAAGCTTAAATGTTCATCCAAGTAACATCCGAGATATTTAATATACGGGAGTGCATGAACATTTGCACCGACCACATTGATCGATTTCATTGAAGAAGCAGATAGCATTTTTTGACTTCCGAATAATATAAATTCCGTTTTACTTGGGTTAAGTTTAAGTCTGTTCAAATTCATCCAATCATTAATGTCATTCCAAATTTTGTAACACATGATGTTCATCAGTTTTGGCCTTTGGATTAAAGCTGTAATACACAGAGTGATCATCTGCATACCCAAGTAGTGAGACGTCATATTCTTTGATGAAATTTTGTAACGTACTTGCATAAACAGTATAAAGAACTGGGCCACATATGCTGCCTTGTGGTACAGAGAAATCTAATTGTCTAGGTTGAGATTTTGACGTATTTATCTGTATCTCGGTCATCCTAGGGAAAGATATGTTTTAAACCATAAAAGTACTGAATCTAATACCCCAAAATTGGTGTGTGAAACATTACCAAGTATATCATGGTCGACAGTGTCGAAAGCAGCCGAAAGATCTAATGCCACTACAGCTGGTTGTTAAAAAACTTCTTCTCAAGAACCACTGGGCAGATTATCAACAAACTGACACAAAAGGATGAGGATATGTTGTAGATTAAAATTTGCACAGGGATTTACCCTAGGGCAAAGGGCGTGGTCTCAAGATCACTTCAAAGTTGACCAAAAATTACATTTTATTAAAATGTTGGTATTTTGCTTACTATAAGGACTAGGATAATCAAATCTTGTCAGTTGATACATCTTAGGACCTCATATCATGTTGACTCAAAAGTAGGTCACAGTGATCTACTTTTTAGCTCACCTGAGCCGAAGGTTCAAGTGAGCTTTTCTGATCGAAATTTGTCCGTTGTATGTCGTCGTTGTCAGCGGCTGCGTTGTTGTTGTCGTTGTAAACTTTTCACAATTTCATCTTCTTCTCCAAAACTACTGGGCCAATTTAAACCAAACTTGGCACAGAGTATCCGTGGGTGAAGGGGATTCAAGTTTGTTCAAATGAAGGGCCATGCCCTCTTTCAAGGGGAGATAATAAAGAATGACTGAAAAATAAATAGCATCTTTTAAAAATATTCTTCTCAAGAACCACAGGGCCAGGAAAGATGAAACTCATGTGGAAGCATCCTCAGGTAGTGTAGATTCAAGTTTGTCCAAATCATGACTCCCGGGG